GGGGTGGACAGCTGCAGCGCGGGGCCCTCTTGGCGCGGGGCCCAATTCAGCCGAATCGGCTGAATCGGCCTAAAGCTGGCGCTGCTCCCCACGAGACCCCACAACCCTCCCAGAGCTAGGAATAGAAGCCGAGAATCCCAATTTGCAGTCCCCCTTGTCCCACACAGCTCCATGAAGCACAGAAAATAACCCCATGCAGGGGTGGCTCCAGGCACCAGCGCACCAAGCATGTGCTTCGGGTGGCAAGCCGCGGGGGTGCAGCCTGATTGCCGCCCTCACGGCGAACTGTCAGGCAACCTTTGGCTGCATGCCTGCAGGAGGGCCGCCAGTCCTGCGGCTTTGGCGGCAATTCGGCGGTGGGTACGCCAAAGCCACGGGACCGCCAGACCTCCTGCAAGCATAGCGCCGAATCCACCATATCTTGACCTTGAAAACAGCCCAAAATTGGCTCTACATAGCACCCAAGCTGCTTCCATGGCCTCTTGCCCAAAAAAGACTAGGGACAAGCAGCAAGACTGGGAGACTCAAGTAATGACTCCTCAGACAACAACTCATTTTCATAGTTTCATACATTTTAAGGCCAGAAGGGTCTATAGATCTTGTATCATCTCCTGTATCACAGGTCAGAGGATGTCACCCAGATACCCCTGCACTGAGCCCAATGACTTGGGTTTGGCTAAAGCTCTTACAGGAAGGCATCCAGCCTTGGTTTGAAGACGTCAGAAGATGGAAAATCCACCCCTTCCCTTGAGAGTTTGATCCAATAGTGAATCACCCTCACTGTGAAATGAAGGTGTCTTATTTCTAACTGGAGTTGGTCTGGCTTCAGCTTCCAGCCTTTGGTTCTTGTTCTGCCTTTCTCTGCTAGGTTTAAACTCCACCTGGAACTGGGCTGAAAGCATCCTCAGCATCCCTTTAGTACCTGGTATTTTCCTCCCATGAAGGTGCTTTACACTGTAATAGACTCACCTCTTCATCTAAACAGCCTGAGCTTTCAAGTGTCTCACTGTCAGGCATTTTCTTGAGCCCTTGAATAATTTCTCTGGCTCTTTTCTGCACCCTCTCCAATTTTTCAGCGTCCTTTTTAAAAAGTACTCCCCAAAACTGGACGCAGCATTCCAGTATTGGTTTCACCAATGCTAGACACAGAGGTAAAATCATCCCCTTGCTCTTCCTCACTGCTCCCCAGTTTAAACGGCCAAGGAACCCAAGAGCCATTTTTGTACCCGCATTGAACTGCGAGCTCATGTTGAATTGTTTGTCCACCCCTAGCTCCTTTTCAGAGTCACCACTGCTTTCCCGGACACAGGCTCCCATTCTGTAGGGGTGGCCTTGTTTATTTACAGGGTACCGTTTCCCTGAAAACTAACAGCACCAGGTC